TATAGAAAGGTAAATCAATTTTATGTTTTACCGTTTTTGTAGTGCTTCCTCACACACCACTACGAAATTAAAATAACTCATATTATGTACAGTTAATATATTTGTTTAAGACTTATACAACGTGTGAATTTTTTTTTGACGTATCCTATTGTATATATTGTATTGTACAATAAATTGTACACACAATAGGACAGTAGGCTCCTCCTAAAAGATTCTGCAGAATGATAAAAAATATAATATGCCGACCAATAAGCTATTAAATTTATCCAAATAAAACAGAAAAGATATATACTGACATAGCAAAAATATGTATATCGATGTTTAATATTATGTATTAAACAGAATAACGCTATAGATAGGTATAAATAGCGCTAGACAAAACGTATTATTGATGGTCGATGGAATATTATATTAAATAGTAATATTAATATTAACTCCACATGGTTCGAACTTTTACTATCGGAAATATTATGAAATTCGCTAAATGATAGGTTGTCCCTTTGAAAGCTGCCCCCTTCGTGTGCACGCTTATGCTTATAAGGTATATTATTATGTTAAAACTTRGAAAATACTTAGAATATTATAAAAATTGATTCCAAARTTAAGTAGGTACCAGATAAATACTTAAACCATTTTAAATAATTTACAATCAAGTTTACTATATTTAATTATTAATTGTGTTTTTAATTAATTAGACTCAGGTACAATGGTAATTTACAAATATATAATTCAGTTTAATTCTTATTTGTACATTTAACGTAATAAAATTGTTTTAATTTTAGTATAATATGATCAATAACATCTTATTTTAAAAGAATTACTAATACCCACAATAGTACCCATCGTTATAGTTGCGGTCTTATTTAATTAATCATCTATTTGTTAGAAATTTGGACTATACAGAAAATCACCTCTGCCAATATAGTTTGATAGTTAAATTCAAGAACCAGCGTATTTATAAAAATGTTGAATTTAATTATTTAAATCATAGTGCGATATACTCATGTAACAGATTTAATATGTATTTTGAGTAATTTAATATTGACATGGTGTGTATWATGTTTTATAATAATTACTTATTGGTAAAATGTAAATTAATTCAACGGAAAACCCAATTTATAGGATCAAATTATTATATTATAAATTAATCATAAGTTTAAATTTGAAATTCAAGAACTTTAATGGTGAAATACGATTTTAATATTTTATCATTTTCTTTTAAATTTAAAATAAAAAAGAACAACACTTTTTTCAAAAGGCATATCTATTATTTACTATAAAGCATACATATATAATGTATGATAAAATGGATGAAATCACACAAAACTTTTAAACAAGATTYGTAGTTGAATCTCTAACTTGGGATTAACTATTTAATGCAATTTCAATTTCCTCACGAACCCAGACAKACACCATTGTTTAACCGCTTTAATTATGTCAATGTCAAATGTCAATGCGTTTATTAAACTTAAGTATAAATTACAGTCACGTATTATTAAGTAGAGAAATCATTAACACCCCACAGAGGACTGCCGCCATGAGGGTGATCCGGTCCTACCACACTGTGTCGGACCAGGCCGCTATGGTTCTGGCCTGCATGCCACCTTCCGATCTGCTTGGATTGAAGAGACGCAGTATCAGGTCCCGACTGCGCGCCGTATWGGAGCCCGGTGAACAACGGCCTTCCGAAGCAACCACGAAACGTGAGGCTAGAAACGCTTCGATCGGTGTCTGGCAGGCTAGATGGCRAGCAACCACGAAAGCGGCATGGACGCGCTGCGTCATCCCTGACTTGGGAAAATGGCGAGGAAGGACTGTACCGTGGGTGCCTCTGACGTTCCACATGACACAGGCACTCCGGGCCATGGTTGTTTCCAGTGGTACCTCCATCGTATGGGCAGGGCCACCAGCCCGCGTTGCTGGCARTGTGTAGATGACTTGGACATCGCCGAACACACGTTATTGTAGTACGTCTACTGGGAAGGATTCCCGGAAGCACTAACCTCCCGGCTAGGTCATCGTCCGAGCACCATCAACGAGCCCGACATGATCGGCGGTCCAGTGTTTGAGACTTTGCCATCGGATCCAACCGAGAAGCGGAGAGAGTTTTCAAACTTTCTTATCGAATGGTGGTAAACATCCTTACTGCAAAGGAGGATGAGGAACGACGTCGTCAGGCCGCAGAAAGAACTCCGGATTCACCAAACTAATGATTGCGTAGTTAAGTTTCTTAAAAATGTAGCCGAAGGCAAGCTCTCGAGTATTATTGTACATAACTAACTATTGTAATAACTAATAGCTATCGAACGGGATATTGGTCCGTCGCACTGTCGCAGCTAAGTAAATGTGTAATTGGTTATTAAYTATTATCAATAAAAGATGGAGGCCGAAGGAGAAGTACTGGCAYCATCTTACTGGTGCCATGTTACTCCTCCGGTTCTCAATACTAACGAAAAAAAAATTTTTTTCTTAATTATATGTGTGCTTTTTTACGTTTAACCATTAAGTGCAAACATAATTTTTTTGAAATAATTATTTTCCATGATTAAATAAAATATCGAAATAATTTAGTAGTTGAATTCGGAAAAATATTAAATTTCTAAAGGCCAGTTGTACAGTTCATTGGTATCTTCCACCGCTACACAAGTTCAAAAAAATTGCATTCTATTTAGTCCTTTTAAAAATTAAATTCAAACCCCATCTACAACTGTTCCACACAATTTTCGTACTAATTTGTTTTTTCACCRAATATCTGTTCGTGGTTTCAATATAAGCTACGTTAGAAACAGCTAGGCACTTGTCAAATTCTATAGATAGATACACCGTACAATTAATATTGTTAAATTTACTGTTTCTGAAAACCTTTGTTCCAKTATATTATTATAATAWAGATTTTTGTGTTTGAAACACATCGATTGAATCGGGCTTATAATGTWTTGCTGTAGCAGTTCAAACGTCACATACAGATACTATCATTATTTTTTAATCCCAGATACACATTGAACCATATATTTTAAACCTTTCCATTATCGCCTCTATACGGGTAATATATTTTTAATTATTATTAATTAATCATTTATAGGTATATTTGTTGCTATTCAATTATTATGTTTACATTAATACTAATAATTACATTGATATTTATTCAAATCAAGTTCATAATTCCAAATCGATTGCATTGTATTTAATTACTATTTGCTTTAAGTTCTAAGTGGTTTTTAATGTTAGTCTTTATCTGGTATATGAGAGTGCTTAAGTATACTAAAATCGATCTGAATGTAATTACTAAARCAAAATGCAACATTACGATGTAATCAACAAAATKTAATATTAATTGTATAACGATGATAAGTTAATAATGATAAGTTAATTCGGATTTTTTAATTAATTTAATATTTAAATTTGAAATATTTTGTATTTAGTACAATATCTAATGTAGTTGGGGGTAGTAATTATTAATTTGATGATATTGTTTCTTATATATATTTCTTTATTTCATTGGAATCAAATAATGTTTTATGTTTATATTTTTGTATCTTAACAAATGTTTAATATTATTTGTGATTGCGTAAATAAAATAACGTATTAGTTTCAAGTCATAAATGTATCT